CAGGTGTGCCCATAGCAGGGCGTAGGGGTTCCCAGGTGTGGCAGGAGCCCTGCAGTGTCCCTTTGGCAGGTGAAGGAGTACGAGGAGGAGATCCACTCGCTGAAGGAGCGGCTGCACATGTCCAACCGCAAGCTGGAGGAGTACGAGCGGCGCCTGGTGACGCAGGAGGAGCAGACCAGCCGCATCCTCCTGCAGTACCAGCAGCGCCTGGAGCTCAGCGAGAAACGGCTCCGGCAGCAGCAGCAGGAGAAGGACTCGCAGATCAAGAGCATCATCGGCAGTGGCAGGTGACAAGTACGAGGAGGAGATCCACTCGCTGAAGGAGCGGCTGCACAGGGACAGGGGGTGACAGGTGTGACAGGTGTGACAGGTGTGCCCATAGCAGGGTGTAGGGGTTCCCAGGTGTGCCCAGGTGTGGCAGGAGCCCTGCAGTGTCCCTTTGGCAGGTGAAGGAGTACGAGGAGGAGATCCACTCGCTGAAGGAGCGGCTGCACATGTCCAACCGCAAGCTGGAGGAGTACGAGCGGCGCCTGGTGACGCAGGAGGAGCAGACCAGCCGCATCCTCCTGCAGTACCAGCAGCGCCTGGAGCTCAGCGAGAAACGGCTCCGGCAGCAGCAGCAGGAGAAGGACTCGCAGATCAAGAGCATCATCGGCAGGTGAGGGACACACGGGGACAGCGGGGACATGGGGACACGGGGACACACAGGGACATGGGGACAGAGAGGGGACACGGGGATATAGGGGTACGGGGACAGACAGGGACATGGGGACATGGGGACTCGCAGATCAAGAGCATCATCGGCAGGTGAAGGACACACGGGGGCAGCGGGGGCATGGGGACACACAGGGACATGGAGACACACGGGGAAATGGGGACACGGGTACAGACAGGGACATGGGGACACACACAGGGCCAGGGGCACACAGGGACTTAGAGATCAAGAGCGTCATCGAAAGGTGAGGGACACACGGGGACAGTGAGGACACCAGGGACACCGGGACACACAGGGCCACAGGGACACACAGGGACACACAGGGACACACAGGGGTATGGGGACACAGGGACACACAGGGACATGGGGACACACAGGGGCAGGGGGACACACAAGGATACAGGGACTCGCAGATCAAGAGCATCATTGGCAGGGGAGGGACACACGGGGACAGCGGGGACACACAGGAACACACGGGGACACAGGGACACATGGGGACACAGGGGGAAATGGGGACATGGGGACTCGCAGATCAAGAGCATCATCGGCAGGGGAGGGACACACGGGGACACTGGGGACACACAGGGACATGGAGACAGGGGCATGGGGACAGACAGGGGTATGGGGACACACAGATGAAGAACGTCATCGGCAGGTGAGGAACACACGGGGACAGCAGGGACAGTGAGGACACGGAGACACACAGGAACATGGGGACACGGGGACACACAGGGACATGGGGACATGGGGACAGCAGGGACAGCGGGGACACGGAGACACACAGGAACATGGGGACACGGGGACACACAGGGACATGGGGACATGGGGACAGCAGGGACAGCGGGGACACGGAGACACACAGGAACATGGGGACACGGGGACACACAGGGACATGGGGACATGGGGACAGCAGGGACAGCGGGGACACGGAGACACACAGGAACATGGGGACACGGGGACACACAGGGACATGGGGACATGGGGACAGCAGGGACAGCGGGGACACGGAGACACACAGGAACATGGGGACACGGGGACACACAGGGACATGGGGACATGGGGACAGCAGGGACAGCGGGGACACGGAGACACACAGGAACATGGGGACACGGGGACACACAGGGACATGGGGACATGGGGACAGCAGGGACAGCGGGGACACGGAGACACACAGGAACATGGGGACACGGGGACACACAGGGACATGGGGACATGGGGACAGCAGGGACAGCGGGGACACGGAGACACACAGGAACATGGGGACACGGGGACACACAGGGACATGGGGACATGGGGACAGCAGGGACAGCGGGGACACGGAGACACACAGGAACATGGGGACACGGGGACACACAGGGACATGGGGACATGGGGACAGCAGGGACAGCGGGGACACGGAGACACACAGGAACATGGGGACACGGGGACACACAGGGACATGGGGACATGGGGACAGCAGGGACAGCGGGGACACGGAGACACACAGGAACATGGGGACACGGGGACACACAGGGACATGGGGACATGGGGACAGCAGGGACAGCGGGGACACGGAGACACACAGGAACATGGGGACACGGGGACACACAGGGACATGGGGACATGGGGACAGCAGGGACAGCGGGGACACGGAGACACACAGGAACATGGGGACACGGGGACACACAGGGACATGGGGACATGGGGACAGCAGGGACAGCGGGGACACGGAGACACACAGGAACATGGGGACACGGGGACACACAGGGACATGGGGACATGGGGACACACAGGGACCATGGGGACACACACAGTGCCGGAGGCACAGAGGGACTTGCAGATCAAGAGCGTCATCGAAAGGTGAGGGACACACGGGGACAGTAGGGACAGCGGGGACATGGGGACACACAGGGACCATGGGGACACACACAGTGCCGGAGGCACAGAGGGACTTGCAGATCAAGAGCGTCATCGAAAGGTGAGGGACACACGGGGACAGCGGGGACACGGGGACACCGAGACACACAGGGACATGGGGGCATGCACAGGGACACGGGGACAGACAGGGACACACAGGGACATGGGGGTGCAGGGTCACACAGGGACATGGGGACAGCCCGGGGACATGGGGACGTTGGGGACACAGAGGGGTATGGGGACACACAGGGACACGCAGGGATGTGGGGACACACACACTGGGGACAGCCAGGGGACACTGGGGACACACAGGGAGATCGAGGGGGACACAGGGACATCAGGGATACAGGGACATTGGGGACACACAGACAGACATGAGGGACATTGGGGACACAGGACAGAGGGACACGGGGACCACAAGGACGTGGGGTTGACACAGGCACACGTAGGACATGGGTGACATAGAGGTGACACACGGGGACACGGTGTGGCCCATGTGTGTCCCCACGATTGTCCCCAAATCCCTGGGTGTCCCTGGCGTGTCCCCAAGTGTCCCTGAGGGGTCCCCGAGAGTGTCCCCAGGATGTCCCTGGGTGCCCCTGGGCTGTGTCAGGGGTGTCCCCGTGAACTTGAGGTGTCCCCGAGGTGTCCCCAAGGTGTCCCCAGAGTTGTCCCCATGCCCTTGGGCTGTCCCTGGACTGTCCCCAGGGTGTCCCCAGGGTGTCCCCTGCCCTTGGGCTGTCCCCAAATGCAAATGTCCCCATGTGGCCGAGTGTGTCCCCAAAGGTGTCCCCACATCCCTGAGGATGTCCCTGTGATCCCAGAGGTGTCCCTGAGTTGGCTGTCCCCATGTCCCTGGGCTGCCTCTGACAGTGTCCCTGTGCTGTCCCCATGTCCTTGAGCCGTCCCCTGGGTGTCCCCAAGGTGTCCCTGGGTGTGTCCCCATGTCCCTGGGCTGTCCCTGGGTGTGTCCCCGTGATCCCCGGGGCTGTCCCCGTGTCCCCGAGGCTGTCCCTGAGTGTGTCCCTGTGATCCCTGGGGCTGTCCCCGTGTCCCTGGACTGTCCCCGAGGGCCCGGGGGGTGTCCCTGGCTGTGTCCCTATGTCCCTGGGCTGTCCCTGGGTGTGTCCCCATGATCCCCGGCTGTGTCCCCGTGTCCCTGGCTGTCCCCGCGGGCCCGGGGGGTGTCCCTGGGCGCGGCCGGGGATGTCCCCGGGGGGGTGGCAGCATGACCCCGGTGAAGCCTGGCCCCGCAGGCTGATGCTGGTGGAGCAGGAGCTGCGCAGGGATCACTTGGGCGCCCACGACCCGTCCGAGGGCCGGCGGCGGCTGCTCGACGCTCAGGTGGAAATTACAATGTCATTGCTCTGCTCCGTGTGACATCGGCCATCCCACGCCGCGCTGGGGGCCGGGCCCCGGGGGGGTTTTTTTGGGGTGTTTGGGGGGTTGTGAGTATCCCTAGAGGGGTATTTGGGGGGTTAGGGGCGGGGGGACAGGGACCCCTGGAGGGGACAGAGCCACCTCCAGGAGGACAACAGGATCCCCCAGAGGGGACAAAGTGCCCCCCAGAGGGGACCTGAGTGGGACAGGGCCACCCCCAGAGGGGACAGAGCCACCCCTAAAGGGGACAGGGCCACCCCAGAGGGGACAAAGTGACCCCTGGAAGGGACAGGACCACTCCTGGAGGGACAGGGCCACCCCCGGTTGGGACAAGGCCACCCCTGGGGGGACAAAGTGGCCCCCAGAGGGGACAGGGCCACCCCCAGGGGACACAGGGCCACCCCTGAGGGGACAAAGTGAGCCCCGCAGGACACAGGGCCACCCTCGGGGTGACACCGGAGGGACATTTCAGGGTGGAGGTGACACTGCCCCACCCCCCAGCCCAGGGACAGTGCCACTCCGGTGTCCCCAAGGCCACCCCCGTGTCCCCAAGGCCACCCCGGTGTCCCCCCCCCCAGAGACGGGGCCATTCCTGCGCCCCCTCCTCGGGTCGGGGCCACCCCGGGGTCACCTCAGGGTCACCTCGGGGTCACCGCAGGGCCACCTCAGGGGCCACTTCAAGGCCACCTTGGGGTCACCTCAGGGCCACCTCAGAGGCCACTTTGGGGCCACCTCGGGGGTCACCTCAGGGCCACCTTGGGGGTCACCTCAGGGCTACCCCGCGGTCACCTCAAGGCCATCTCAGGGGCCACCCCAGGGCCACCCCAGGGCCACCCCGGGGCCAGCCCGGCCGGGCCGTGTCCCCGCGCGGCGCGGTGGCCGCGGTGGCCCTGATGTCCCCTCCCGTGTCTCTCTTGTCACAGCTGTCCGTCAGGTAGCGCGGCCCGGCCCCGCCAGTGGCACCGGACCCTCGGCCACCGGTGACACCCCAGGTGGGTCCTTGTCCCCTCCCTGTCACCCCCCAGGCCGCACAGGGGGACCCTTGGGGACACGGATCCGAGATGTCCCCAAGGCCCTCTCGTGTCCCCGGGGGACACTGGGAACCCTTGGGGACATGGATCCGGAATGTCCCCAAGCGCTCTGCTGGCCCCAAGGGACACTGGGGACACTTGGCAGGTGTCCCCATGTCCCTCCCATGTCCCCATGTCCCTCCCGTGTCCTTTAGGCACACTGGGGACCCTTGGGGACACAAACCCAAGATGTCCCCAAGACCTTCCTGTGTCACTAAGGGACATTGGGGACCCTTGGGGACAGGGATCTGGAATGTCCCCGTGTCCCTGCTGTGTCCCCATGTCCCTCGTGGGCACTGGGGACACGGATCCAAGATGTCCCCAAGACCCTTTTCTGTCCCCAAGGGACACTGGGAACCCTTGGGGACATGGATCTGGAGTGTCCCCAAGGGACACTGGGGACCCTTGGGGACACGGATCCAGGTGTCTCCAAGACCCTTTTCTGTCCCCAAGGGACACTGGGGACACAGATCTGAGTGTCCCCATGTCCCTTCCCCCTCCCTCGGGAACACTGGGGACACGGATCCAGCTGTCCCCGTGTCCCCGTGGATCCCTTGGGGACACGGATCCAGGTGTCCCCATGTCCCCGTGGACCCCTTGGGGACACGGATCCAGGTGTCCCCATGTCCCTCCTGTGTCCCCGTGTCCCTCCCATGTCCCCAGGGCACACTGGGGACCCTTGGGGACACAAATCCAGATGTCCCCAAGACCCTTTTCTGTCCCCAAGGGACACTGGGACCCCTTGGGGACACGGATCCAGCTGTCCCCGTGTCCCCGTGGATCCCTTGGGGACACGGATCCAGCTGTCCCCATGTCCCATGGATCCTTGGGGACACGGATCCAGGGGTCCCCATGTCCCCGTGGATCTTTGGGGACACAGATCCAGCTGTCCCCATGTCCCCATGGATCCTTGGGGACACGGATCCAGGTGTCCCCATGTCCCCATGGATCCTTGGAGAAACGGATCCAGGTGTCCCCATGTCCCCATGGATCCTTGGGGACACGGATCCAGGTGTCCCCATGTCCCTCCTGTGTCCCCGTGTCCCTCCCATGTCCCCAGGGCACACTGGGGACCCTTGGGGACACAAATCCAGATGTCCCCAAGACCCTTTTCTGTCCCCAAGGGACACTGGGACCCCTTGGGGACACGGATCCAGCTGTCCCCAAGGTGCTCATTGTCCCCATGTCCTTCCCATGTCCCTCAAGGGCACTGGGGACACTTGGGGACCCGTGGGGACATGGATCCAGATGTCTCCAAGACCCTCCTGTGTCCCCATGTCCTTCAGGGACACAAGGGACCCCCTGGGGACACAGACTGGGGTGTCCCCGTGTCCCTTGGGGACACAGATCCGGGTGTCCCCATGTCCCTCCTGTGTCCCCCTGTCCCTCAGGACCCCTTGGGGACACCACCCCCGGTGTCCCCATGTCCCTCCTGTGTCCCCATGTCCCTTGGGGACATGGATTCAGGTGTCCCCACATCCCTCCTGCCGTCCCCATGTCCCTCCTGGTGTCCCCATGTCCCCTGGGGACATGGACCGAGATGTCCCAATGTCCCTCCTGGTGTCCTCCTGTCCCTCCTGTGTCCCTGTGTCACCTGGGGACACTGTCCGAGGTGTCCCCTTGTCCCTCCTGATGTCCCCATGTCCTTTAGGGACATGGGGAACCCCTTGGGGACACTGTCCGAGGTGTCCCCTTGTCCCTCCTGATGTCCCCATGTCCTTCCTGGTGTCCCCATGTCCCTTAGGGACACTGGGGACCCTTTGGGGACATTGGGGACCCTTTGGGGACATCACCCCAGGTGTCCCCATGTCCCTTAGGGACACTGGGGACCCTATGGGGACATGGAGGACCCTTTGGGGACACCACCTCAGGTGTCCCCATGTCTCTCTTGGTGTCCCCATGTCCCTTGTGGACACTGGGGACCCTTTGGGGACACCCCCCCAGGTGTCCCCATGTCCCCTCAGGTGCCACCACTGGCCCTGTCCCCACCCGCTGGAGGTGCCACCATTGTCCCCATCCCCCCGGGGTGGGGGGGTGACCATGGTTTTGGGGGGGTTTGGGGTTTGGGGTTTGTCACCAAATGTCCCCCAGCGCTGGCGCCGCGTCACCGTCACCATCCTCGTGTCTTGTGTCTGTCCCCATCTCACCGGGGGGGAGGTGACACCCGTGTCCGTGTGCCATGTCCTGTCACCGCGGGGGGGACAGTTCAGTTCAGGGGGGCGGGGACAGTTCAGGGGTTGGGGACAATTCAGGGGGTTTGGGGACAATGAGGCAGCACCAGGACATTTTGGGGTGGGGGGAGGGACAGTTTAGGGGAGGCAGGGACAATATTTTGGGGTCCCCCTGCAAGGGCTCCTCGTGCCACCGTCTCCTCGTGTCACCAAGAGGAACTGGGGGTCCTCGCGCCAGAGCCCCTCGAGTGTCACCAGCTCCTCACCGAGGGCTCCGACTGTCACCCGGAGGAATTTGGGGGGCTCCTCGTGGCTCTCAGAGGAATTTGGGGGGCTCCTCGTGGCCCCGGGACCTGCCCAGCCCTCGTGCGAGGGTCCCGAGTGCCACCACGTCCTCGTGCCACCAAGAGGAACAAGGCGGGGGGGGGTGGTCCTCGTGCAAGAGCCCCCCGAGTGCCACCAGCACCTCGTGCCACCAAGAGCCCCCTGAGTGCCACCAAGAGCCCCCCGAGTGCCACCAGCTCCTCGTGCCACCAAGAGCCCCCTGAGTGCCACCAGCTCCTCGAGTGCCTCCAGCTCCTCGTGTCACCAAGAGCCCCCTGAGTGCCACCAGCTCCTGGTGTCACCGGGACCTCGTGCAGGAGAGATTGGGGGGGGGGTCCTGGTGCCACCAAGAGCCCCCCGAGTGTCACCGGGACCAGCCCAGCGCCGTGTGCGGGTCCCTGGTGTCACCGGGGTCTCTCTCTGTGTCACACGCCACCCTCGGGCACCCACCGGGACCCCCCC